TGCTAATGAGAATAAAAAGTTACTCAAGCACTTTGGAAAACATTTCGAAAATCTCTTCAAAAGTTAGATAGATTGTTACTCTACCACTCAGCCATTCTACCCCTAGCTATTTACTCAAGAAAATTGAAAGCATGTGTCCAGGCAAATATTTGTACAATAATGTTCATAGATAGCAGCTTTATTTTTAATGACCAAAAACTAGGAGAAAATACAAGTAGTCATTAAATGGTGGGTGGATAAACAAGTTGTGGCACATCCATTCAATGCAGTCAATATACTTATCAGTATAAAGACAGAAACTGTTTCTACTTGCAGCAGAATAGACCTGAAACTAATTATGCCGAGTGAAGGAAGCCAGGCCAAACCCAAAGTACACATTATATAATTCATTTACATGGAATTCTAGAAAATGCAAACTAATATAGAATGATAGAAAGCACTGTCAGGATTTGCTCGGGGACAGGTGGGGCGGGTGTGGTGGGGAGTGGCAGCAAGGAGAGGATTTCAAAAGAGGACACTTCGGGAATTGATGGATGTGTTCATTATCTTGACTGTGGTGATGATTTCATAGGCATACACATATGTCAAGACTTAGTAAATTGTACACTTTGAATTTATATCATTTTGTATTATTATATATTATTATACTTTAATAAAGTTGTTTAAAAACACAAATATTCACAACAAAACTCACTGAGTCACCAAAGAACAATTTAAATTTGACTAGTAATAATATGTCTTATTATTGATATTAGTGAAAGAATATATGTACACACATACATACATATACACACAAGCTAATTCTGAATTACTTACCTTGTCATGAAGTTAAAACAAACAGGAGGGATAATATCACAACGCAGGTGAATAAAAAGAAAAACTGTAGGAAAATAAATATTTCTAAGACTGTTTTTAAATGGAAATTCATGAGATGAATGCCAGTAAATATTATCTTTCCAACATTTTAAAAAATACTGAAGTTGATGTTTTGATATAAAAACAATGTTTGGATTAATTGCTGTGAATGCCTCAGTAGTAGGTGCTTCTGTGTATCCATGTTGATGAATCTCTATTTTTAGTGAACAAGCCTGCATTTTTTTCCAAAACCTTCTGCAATCCAAGTCTAAACGAATGTCAAACAGTTCATGAGCACACATCAGAAAACAATCTACTGGTTTTACTAAAAGCAGAAGAGGAGTTGCTGATGCAAGTGGAATAGTAAATGAGTGTCTTGGCCTTAGACTGGCACTTTAAATAAATCATAATTCCTAGCAATGAAATATAAAGTAATTTGTATATTCTAGTCCTTCCATTCTGTCTTCTAAAATATGCTGAAGTCATCCTTTAACCCTCAAATAAATAACCCTTAATTATTAATAAATAATTAAGATGCCTTAAGAAAAAAATCCTCATTAATATTTGTTAATCACTTCCTCATTCTAGCTACATGATGAATCTCCAACCATCTGTACCTTTACTCCACCCTTCTCCTAATCTAGTGTGAGGAAGATACTGAGCTTTGTGCCCAGGAAGAAAAAGTGGAACAATTTGGAAAGTTTCCATTTTGCTAAATGAGGTCCCTGCCTCCTCCTACATCTTCTTCTGCTCACCATCTACACTTGACCCTGTGCTGACCCTTCTGTTTTATATTGAAAGTATAGATTGACCCTTAGACCTGTCTGCAGCTCGGTGTCACCCTACTCCTGCAACTGGGTCTGCCACTTCCCTGCCTCTGGTGGCAGCACTGCTGGATTAACTGTCTTACATACGTCCTAGTATTTCTCTGATGGCCTCTGGGAGGAACGAAGGCAATCTAAGGTATTGGAGCAACAGAGGGAGGTGCAAAAACAAAACAAAAGAAAAACCCTGAAACATTAAATACATTCTCAATAGTTCCGCAAATTACCAAGTGAGTTAAATATTGGTGAATGTATCTCTCATCAGATTAACCTTTGGCACATTGGTAGTTTAAGGAACCATCAAAGGTGAGAGTCAGTGGGGGATGGCCAGCTGAGGAGTTGAAAGACCTACTTGTCAACCTGCTGATGTTAGCGCCTGCAGCATTGTTTAGTGGAGAAGCCCCAAAAGTAGGTCCAAGCAGTGATATTTCTCTCACATATGGGCTGGGGTCCTTCAGATATCAGGCAACATTACTCATCAGTCTTCCAGTGGGTGCTTGCTGCTAAAAGAGGGCGGACTGGGCCCCTTGGTGTTCTGCTGATTAAACGGAAACACGAAGCTACTCAAGTTCCTCGTGTGCTGCAGTGGGGCTTATATCCCTCCCATTCCACCTGCTGCTGCAGCTGAGCACTGTGGTTATGTGAGGACAGGATTATCACATCACATATATCCGGGCCCTTCAATCTTAGCACTGGGGCTGGTGAAAGAGAGGTGCAACCAGGTAGGGTCCTGTGGGCTAGTGCTGGGAGGCAGTAGTAAAAGCCAAGGGTCAAGTTTGGGGAGAAGGGAAAGGAAGGCAGAAGTTTTCCTGGGGTATTAGCTTGGTCCCTAAACATCAGCCAAGGAAACTCTGCTTTATTTAATGGAAGGCCCAGGTAGAATGACTATGGAGAGGTGAGAGCTATGGCTTATGCCTTCCAAGCTCTGTAATATGGATGGCCTCGGAGAATGTGGGCCTTATTGGCCGTGGATTTTTATCTCTGATTTACCTACTTTGAGCCCTTTGGTTTGTCATGCAGCTTCTCTGCATCGTGGCCTGCTATTAGGATATCCACAATGACAGTGAGGAGGACAAAAGCTGCTCTAATGAAGAATATGTACTGATTAAATGCCTGGAGGAAATGAGGGGATCTTAAGTTTGTCCCGAAGAAGTGAGTAACACACTAGGCAATACAGCACTGAGGTAGCCTCAGCTTACAGTTTTCCCTGCATTTGTTGTTGGCATAGAGGTGGGTACTAAATAAGCTATATAAGTGCGTGGAATTTTTGGAAAGGGTTTGCCAAGAGAAGAATATGAATTAGAATTTTTTAGTCTTGTGTGATTTTGGAAGCCGAAGAACATGAAGACCTGAGTTTGAAGATATGAAGATTATTCACATCAAGGGGTTTAATTGGACAACCTTTGCTGATATGAGCAACCACTTTGCTGATACGCAAGACCACTGAGACCAGACCCCAGGCTCCTTGGAGTGAAGAGCAGATACAGAAGACTCTTTGGTCTATTGGGTCTGGATGAATATATCCAGGAGAGTGTGGGTCGCTATGTCAGGTGGGTATCACTAGGTGATCTGGAAGGCCAGATTCTTTATACTTAACATGACTGGCGATCCAGCAATGTTATGTCAGGGCACAGTTAAGAGTGCCAGGCACAAGCTTCCCTGATGAGAAATGACTTAACTCATTAACACTCCCTCTAGAGCCTCGTCAAAGAGGGTCTCGAGTTGCATGAGGCACTCCTGTGGCCTAAGCTTTGACAAATTATGTGGCCAAATGACAGCAGCCAGGGCCAGCCCTGCGCCTGCCCTCCCCTGGGTAAACCCTCTGGCCAGAGGTTCTGTCAGCATGTCGTTGCTGGAAGTCATGTCCTGGATACCCTAATCTTTAAAGAAGGGTGTCAGTCACTGTGTATGTTCCAGTTCTCATTTTGTTGAAACAGAGCCACAAAAACTGGCATCGACTGTTTGTTGGAAACTCACAGCTGTGAGTAGCAGGCTTTCTACATCTGTTATTGGATGTCTTTCACTGACAATAAAATACACATCGAATTTGTAGTTCTAGTCATGAAATTGCCACGTTGAGAAAGGTCCATATTAGGTCTTTTATAATCTTTCTCCAGATTCGAAGTCTGATTTTTCAAGAGTTGACACATTTTTCCTGTTGGCATGCATCAAAAATTTCTTATCTTTAACCTTTAGGTTTTCATTTGATACTATGTTATGCAGTTCATGGATATCACTAAACAAATGAGCCAAAATTTGCATGTACCTCCTGCAGCAAATCAGAACATACACTCTTGTAATAATTTGAAGAGCAATATTCCTTTGAAGTGTATGGTCTGGGTTTAGAGGCCACATGATCGCCGTACTTCTCAACTCCGAAAAGATCTGTTGATTTAATTTAGCTTTTGTTTGAAATACATTTTTCTAATTGACCATATAGTATAGGCTGGAGATTTAGCATGGCCAAAATCATAAAATAGAAATGTGTTTTGAATTATAGGCCCATGTAAAATAAAAGAAAAATTTACATTTGAGAGGCACAAAACACTTCAGTAATAGTGTTAGAACACAGAACCAAAACCTTTACAATATGTAACATGAATTAACTTGAACATATTTGAGGAAACATTACATATGGTCCCTGACATTTCCAAATTAATGAAAGTCTTATTAGAAACTGCTCTTGCACATCCCAGGTGCTCTCCTACGTTGGCGGTGAGCTTGACAATGATACTACTGGTGTGGAGGGTAAATTGACAATATCCAGAAAAGTCACAGGTACGTTTAGTCTTTCAGCAATCTCACTTCTAGGAGGCTATCCCAAAGTCACATGGGCAAAAGTATATACCATGTGCACAGACTCATTAACTGTAACAGTATTTGTGATGGCAAAAGATTGAAAACAGTCCCATCGGTAGAGAGTGTGTTGAGCTATGACAATAGCACACAAAGGAGTATATGTCACCACAAAAAAGAAAAAAAATAGAGGATCTCTGCATAGTGATGGATTGTGATCACAGGGATACAAATTGAAGAAAGCAAGGTGCAGAGCAGTGTATACAGTAAGCTACATTTCAGTATCAGTAGTGAAGCGCTATTTCATAAACTGGATGTTATGTGTAGTGAACTACAACATAAAGTACATAGCATCACCGACAAAGTAGTTTTGCCAAAAAATAGTGAACCTGAGTCTCATCAAGTTCTTAGATCTAATTCCCAGTTTACTTGAAATACAAGGAACAAAGGAACATGTTGAAGGAGACATGGGGAAGCATCAGGCCAATGCAGAAGTTGGGACACTCTGCAAGACCACTGGCCTGATGTCTTTAACAAGGAAATGTCTTGGGAAAAGATATAAAGGCTGTAATAAAGACTATTCAGGTTAAAATAGAACTGAGACTTCAGACCTTGAGTTGATTCTGACCAACCAACTCCAAAAGATATTTTGGGAGGAATTAAATATGGACTAAGTATGAGGTGATATTAAAAGAATTATTGTTAGTTTTATCCAATGTGATTATGGTATGGTGATTAGGTAGGGAAACATCCATTTTTCAGAGTTGTACCAAGAAGTATTTAGGATAGAAATACTCTATGTTGTTTGTAATTAAAATACTTCAAAAAAAAATAGTTAAAACTAATTGGGCAGAATGTTAACAATCACGAAATCTAGGTGATGAGCACATTGAGGGTGGGAGTTATTATGAAACGAAGTCCCTCTAAAACCAAGTTCCCTTAACAAGTTTGTAATTAACCTCTCAATCCAAAACTTTATTCTCTTTCTTGTCCCACCGCTGTTCCCCTCAGGATTGACAAGTATCAAAGAAAAGGGGGCATTGAAACCAATTAGGACCCTACAGGGCCTTCCCAGGTACAAAAGCCCCTCTGTGTCCCCCATTTCTTGTTTGTAGAAAAAAAGGCTTTGGTCTCCTAGACCTTCCCCAAGTTCCAAAAAGCTGACTCAAGCAGTTACTAGTTAGAGAGGTGCGGGGAAGCAGAAACAAAGGAAAAGCAATTAAGAAAGAAAAACAATGATAGTTTAAACAGTTGTTCAGAGAGAAAACAGAGTCCTAGTTCCCTCTCAGGGATCTACATAACAATCTGATGCATATCTTTGAGTTGACATGCAGAAACTAAGACCCCTGCCCAAGTGGAGAATGGTGACTACATGCTGACTACAAGCAGTAGATCCCAGACTGGGTGGAATCAGAAGGTTGATGATAAAGATTCTGAAACATCATCCTATGACCTCAACACTAGCCAACCAGAAGAAAGTCCACTAGCTGATCACATACCCTACAACCCTCAACTCCTAATGTTGCCTCTTAAAACCCTTCCCTGAAAGACATCAGGGAGTTCAGGTCTTTTGAGCATGAGCTGCCTATTCTTCTTGCTTGACACCTGCAATAAATGCTGTACTTTCCTTCACCACAATCAGGTGTTGATTGGCTGGCTTTGCTATGGGTTGGGTGAGTGGACTGGAGTTCGGTTCAATAACAGTTTTTGAATTATCTCTATCTTTATGTATGTTTGAAACTTTTCATTTAATAAAAAGTTTTAAAATGAAAGCTAAACAAAGAACCACCAAGTGAGGTGACTTCCCTGGCCCCTTCTTTTAAAATATTTATTTATTTTTATTTATTTAAAATTTACTTCCCTGGCCTCTTCTTTTAAAATATTTATTTATTTTTATTTATTTAAAATCTACATATATGTACTGTTCATTGTTTCTAAGAACAGTTTAGAGCTTTAGCTTTCTAAACTTACATAGTTATCAAAGAAATAAAGACAACCACAAAATACAAATCAACAAAATGCAGTAATCCAATCATAAAGGACAGTCAAATGTGCTTATACATATTCAAGAAATCAATCATCTAAGTTATAATTAATAAGTAGTTCATTTGTGTCCTTTTTTTTAGATTCCACATATAAGCAATATCATATGACATTTTTCTTTCTCTTTCTGGCTTACTTCACTTAGAATGGTGATCTCCAGTTGCATCCATGTTGCTGTAAATGGCATTATTTTATTCTTTTTTATGGCTGAGTAGTATTCCTGTGTGTGTGTGTGTGTGTGTGTGTGTGTGTGTGTGTGTGTGTGTGTACACATACATATCACATCTTTATCCAGTCATCTATTGATGGACATTTGGGTTGTTTCTATGTCTTGGCTATTGCAAATAGTGCTGCTATGAACATTGGGATGCAGGTGTCTTTTTGAATTATATTTTTCTGCAGGTATATGCCCAGGAATGGGACTGCTGGATCATATGGTAAGTCTGTTTTTAGTTTTGTAAGGAACTTGGTGACTGGGAATAGGCAAGAGCTGGAGCAGCTGCCTTACTTTTCCAAGTGGAAGGCACAGGTTGAAGTTTGCAGAGTTTTGCCAGCTCTGGACCACCTACCTACCCAGGGAGAAATAATTATTATAAGTAAGTCTTTGGGGGAAAATTTTTAAGTGTTGTAAATTTGCAGGACATGTCAAGAATTTAGATGTACACTCTGAACCTCAGAAGCCCTACTCTCCCCTCCCACACCTTGGAGACTAAATCTAAGACCTCATCAGACATGCAAAAATAGGGGCTCATAGAACAACTCATTACAATATTCAGAACATTGTTAATTCCTAATGAAAGTTGCTAAAGAGTTCCTGTGATTTATCTCACAAACATCTGCCTGCCTGTAGGTGGCTTATAAGATAGAAACGAAGCTGCCCTGAGGACTCAGAGTTAGTGATACAACTTTACATAAGTAATTTTCCAAACAGAACATTGCACCAACACTGAGGAAGGGGAAGTTATCACAAATGGGAAAATTACATCCAATATAAGCAAGCTGTTTTTAAAAACCAAAAATAAAGTATGTGTGTAAAAAGTCTTCTTGACAGAATCCTGATTGGCTTGAAGTTTCTAGGCATAGTTTGTTGTCTGTGGCAAAAATGACAATTAAATATTTAATTTGGGGGGGGGGATTGTTCCCCAGACTGTTATTATAGGATAACTTATTTGGTGCAATAAAAATTGTGTATTTCAGGAAGTGTCTGATGTATGTAAGACATGTAGTAGCGTTAATACCTTTCAGCCCTCTGAGGGCAAGCATCATCGTCAATGTTGAGTTTGCTTTGTGAGTCCCCGTGAGGAATAATATTCTGGGCAATGATTGCTCGTTAACACAAACAAATAGGTTGTGAGACGAGTACACATCCCATCAAAAACGAAGCTATACTCAGAGAGTAAAACAGTGGTTAAAACGTGAGCAAAACTCTGTTCCTGGACAGAATTTTAAAGTGGATAAGTCTCAGATTCAGCATTTCTCACCCTTGTTTCACCATCTACTTTCCTCATACGTTCTACTCCACCCCAGCCCCTTCCCAGTACCAGCTGCAGTCTAGGAACTTCTTGGCCCGGTACAGACACCTGTTACGGTATTTTGGTGTCAACGCAGCATCATTTGGGACCTTTCTAAACCTCTGCCTTCTCCCCCAAACCTCCCATTACCCAAAATGCAACTGCTGTAGCATTTTATCAGAAAATACATGGACACAAATAACTTGTACAAAAGTCAGAATTTTAAGTTACAGTGGTAAAATCCTACTGGCGTAAGATGTCATGGCCCATCTTATGATGCTTTGTTCAGTTTTACTTTGATCTTCTCACTAAACAGTTCATCTTCAACGTAACTGAGGGTGCAGAGGGGGTTGGGAGTGGGTTAGGCAGGAAAGTCAAATCAGAAGTGGGGAAGGGTTAGAGGAGAACATAGTTAGATTGAAAATAAAGCAAGATTTTTTGTTTTATATTGATTTGTGTTTAGTCACAGTATTTATTTTCAAACTACATTAAAAAACATAAAACTTTTTATATTTCCTGAAGGGGAAACAGAAATTTTGCGATGTCTCTGATCAAAAGGAATGTTAACAGAAATGTCTAGACTATGTGCACTTTCTCTTTATTTTAGTTAAATGATAAATTTACTTCCTTGTGATTACTCTTACTGTCTTTCTCCTATTTTGCAATAATTAACATTTGTAATTAGTAATTATATCTATTTGTACTTAACAGTCTTTGGCACTATTTGAAAGTGAATATAAAATTTCTGGAAAAATTAGAACCAATACACGGCTGATGCAAGAATACACACAATACTGCTAGTTGTCCCAAGATGATCAATGATTCCGTCTTTTGTGGTGAGATTTCAGGCACGGAATTGGCCTTGGTCAATATAAATTTTGGCAACATATGTTTTTAGTTCTTCTAATAAATCAAATGGCCTCACATTTACAGTGCCAAATATTTTCTCAACTCACTTATATCAGTAGTTGCTAAAAATTTAGTTCCATACCCTGGAATGATGTTAGGAGGTCCATGATAAGAAAAATCAATGTAACACATGAGTTTTTCATGAAGTTAATTTTATTTATTTTCAAAGACTGACTTTTATTATAACAGTACCCCCTTCCTTTTATTTAATGTTGAAATAAATCCTTCCCTTCATGAGACAATGGTAATAATAGATGGTAATTGTTTTAATGTGTGCATAATGTTTTTAATTTTACAAATTAAAAAGATGGCAAACATATGCTTCCTTACTTATTTTTTTCCACTTAGAGGAGGACAGATTTTACTTGTATTGGACATCCAAAAAGTCTGAGCTCCTTATTCTATTCTCTGCTTCAAATATTTTCTAGGAGGTGACTGAATCAGATTAGAGCTAGGAGAGAAGAGAATAGAATGTTAAAGATGCTCTTCAAATTGTAAACTGACTTCTCAGTTGTAAACTACTTGAGACCAATAATTTTTTTTAAATGGAGAGATATTTCTGAATTGAAAAGACCAGAGCTACTGAATAAATTTAGAAAGCATTTTCTTGATCTATCCACAAGGGTTTTAAGAGCCTATATGTCTTCTGGGCTCTTCACTGTGACGTCAATCATTTTGAGGTTAATAACCAGTCTGTCTTTGAGTTATCAGTTTTTTCTTTCTTAGGAAATCTGAGGTTAGCTAGAACCCAGCTGCAGAACATAAGGCAGAATAAGAAGGGAAGGCTGACAGTGTGAGGCAATGCTTAATCATTGCAACATGTGCAATTAAACATTTATACACGCTTCCTAAAAGCAGAGAGCTGGGATGATGGTGTCTGCAAGAAGAAAAAAAATGTGTAATTAAACACCCTTCAGTTTATCTTCAGTAAAATTTAATCATTGTATAAAATTTATTGTTATTCTTTGCAATTACCTGTTTCCTTCTCACTTCACCCTCCTTTAGAGCCCTTAGTTTCATGTCTTGATAACTTTTTAAATGATCTCAGTGGGGGGAAAAATGTTATTTTTAAGGAAAAATAATAGCCAGCATTTTATACTTTTTAAAAAAATATGGATGTGGAAATGGATCTAAGCTCCCACATCAATCAATATTAGAAAATTTTGTTAAAAGTACCGTCAAGGCACCCTAAGGATAGAATTTCAGTATAAATATCAACACCAACCTATTAATGTTTTCAAAAATACTTTTTGTGGAGCAACAAGCCAACTTTGTGATGTTTTATGAACAAACAGTTCAAATATTCCTTTATCTGTTTCAGTTCATGAATACTTTTTGTTGCCTGCCTCCGCGCTCGTCGCCCCCACCCCGCTCTACCTTGGCAGTCTGTCTTTTTTTTTTTCTTTTTTTCTCCTC